TAACAACAACTAGATAACAACAACTAGATAACAACAACTAGATGACAACAACTAGATAACAACAACTAGATGACAACAACTAGATAACAACAACTAGATGACAACTAGATGACAACAACTAGATAACAACAACTAGATAACAACAACTAGATGACAACAACTAGATAACAACAACTAGATAACAACAACTAGATGACAACAACTAGATGACAACAACTAGATGACAACAACTAGATGACAACAACCAGATGACAACAACTAGATAACAACAACTAGATAACAACAACTAAATATCAACAACCAGATGACAACAACTAGATAACAACAACTAGATGACAACAACTAGATAACAACAACTAGATGACAACAACTAGATGACAAATACTAGATGACAACAACTAGATAACAACAACTAGATAACAACAACTAAATATCAACAACCAGATGACAACAACTAGATGACAACAACTAGATGACAACAACTAGATAACAACATCTAGATAACAACAACTAGATGACAACAACTAGATGACAAATACTAGATGACAACAACTAGATAACAACAACTAGATAACAACAACTAGATAACAACAACTAGATGACAACAACTAGATGACAACAACTAGATAACAACAACTAGATGACAACAACTAGATAACAACAACTAGATAACAACAACCAGATGACAACAACTAGATAACAACAACTAGATAACAACAACTAAATAACAACAACTAGATGACAACAACTAGATAACAACAACTAGATAACAACAACTAGATAACAACAACCAGATGACAACAACTAGATAACAACAACTAAAAACAACCACTAGATAACAACAACTAGATAACAACAACTAGATAACAACAACTAGATAACAACAACTAGATAACAACAACTAGATAACAACAACCAGATAACATTCAAAAGCAGCACTGCAAAGCCTAAGTAAAAATCGGGCAGAAAATCTTGCAACAGTCGCTGAAATTAAGAGAGCTGTGAGAGTACTAACCAGTTTCTGTGGATCCCCTCCCATGTTGGGGATCCCCTCCCATGTTGGGGATCCCCTCCCATGTTGGGGATCCCCTCCCATGTTGGGGATCCCCTCCCATGTTGGGGATCCCCTCCCATGTTGGGGATCCCCTCCCAGGTTGGGGATCCCCTCCCATGTTGGGGATCCCCTCCCATGTTGGGGATCCCCTCCCATGTTGGGGATCCCCTCCCATGTTGGGGATCCCCTCCCTTGTTGGGGATCCCCTCCCATGTTGGGGATCCCCTCCCATGTTGGGGATCCCCTCCCATGTTGGGGATCCCCTCCCATGTTGGAATATGTGGGAATGAACGAGCAGATGTGCTGGCTGCTGAAGGCGCTGAAGGAGACCATATTGAATACTTCATACCCAAGACTCTACTACAAATTAGAGGTATTGTCAGGCAACATCACCGTGACAAGGTAACTGAGGAAAGGAGGATAGAAGCCCAAACCAGTGAATCTGTACGATGGTACAACATGGTTGCAGCTGGCAATCCCAATCATTATGGCCGAAGAGGAGGACGACGAGGGAGAGAATCAGTAATAGCGAGAATCCGTCTGGGATACAAATATCCATGGAGATATGGAATGGAAACAACAGTTGATCAGCGAAGTTGCAGAATCTGTGGTGAGAGTGATGGACACCGCCTTGATCACTATCTACGTGAATGTGAACACCTGAGAGACATCAGAAGTATGTGTAGAATAATGCACCTCACATTGAGTTAGGAAAACACTATTTGTCAAATATTGATACTGTTCTTAAAAGATTTCCCCATTTTGCACCCGCAAGATAACGTAAGCTTTTAAGGGTTGATAGATGTTAATCTTCTTGTTTGAGGAGCATTTCACTTGAGACAGTTAAGCAAGTCCCAACTGTGTCTGGGTACAAGTGACAGGATGAACAACCCAGCGGGTTTTCTTCCTATTGGGTAGTGTTGTACATGCTGCTATGGCGGTATGTCCACTCACAACATGAGTGGCGCTGCCCAGTAAACTCGCCCCTCGGGGCAAAATTTAAAAAAATTTAAACAACTAGATGACAACAACTAGATAACAACACTTAGATAACAACAACTAGATAATAACAACTAGATAACAACAACTAAATAACAACAACCAGATAACAACAACTAGGTGAGACCACCGACAAACAGGTAGACAGCAGTAAGGGGCCAATTAGCGACCTCACAAATAAGGATCGGACTCCGTCCCATCTTCCTATTGACATTCCCATTTACGGTCCGGCTCAAGATAAAGTGTTTTCTCGTCTCCAACTTTACACTATTACTAACTACTCACACCAGGGTCCCTGGTGCGTACATCAGCTGGTGAATATACCGGCATTAAGTGCACGTAGGTATGTTTTGAGTATATAATAAATAAATAAATAAATTTATATAAATAAAAATGGAAATGTTTGTTAGTTCAAAATCGCTAATCTCCGAAAGTTCTTCACCGATTGCTTTGAAATTTTCACACAATGTTCCATTCACATCCGAGCAGGTTTATATATTCATATTTTATTGATGTCACATCTGTGACGGAAAAAAACATGTTTTTTTGAAAAACTGTGTTTTTCATGTAATTTTCATGTGAGAGAAATCCTAGAAACCACTTTACCGATTGCTTTGAAATTTTGACACGACGTTGCATTCGAATAGGCACGTGTTTTTATATACTTACAATATACATGCCTCATCTGTGACCGGAGAAAATATGTTTTTTTTTTAAAACAGCGCCATCTGTTGGACATAAGACCAACATACGCTGTAATCTCCCAAAGTTCTTCACCAAATGCTTTGAAACTCTGACACAACGTTCCATTTGAGTATGCGCGTCTTTTTATATACCAACTATATAGATGCCACCCCTGTGACAGGTAAAAAACATGGGTTTTTGAAAAACAGTGCCATCTGTTGCACATAATAGCAACATGCACGTTGTACTAAATATGTCACGAATTCCATTTGAATGTTTCGTATTGCATTGTTAAATTTTATTTTCATAGATTTTGATTAATTTTATTTTTTATTGAATTATTTTGTGTGGCATTGTGTTGGAATTGAGCTGTGTTGTTTATCATACCGTTCATTTCATAAGTATAAGTACAGATGCCACACCTGTGACAGGTAAAAATATGCTTTTCTTGAAAAACAGCGCCATCTGTTGCATGTAAGAGGAACCACATGTTATACTAAATATCTTACAATTCCATTTCAATGTTTCTGATTGCCTTGATAAATTGAATTTTCATAGATTTTGATTTATTTTGGATGAGCTGTGTTGGAATTGAGCTGTGTTGTTAACCATACCATTCATTTCGTGAGTATAGTTTATTTTTGTACTTTTTCATATTTTCATTTTATTTTATAACTGTTTTCTTATATTTCAGTGATGGGAACATCAGATCACTTGATGTTCCTAATTTACTGATGGGAACATCAGACCATTTGGGAAGACATCTGACAAGGGAGTGGGGAATGGTGGGAAGGACGAGGGGACGGGGGAGTTTGGGATGAAGGGATGGGGGAATGGATAATGGTGGAGAGGTCAAAGGGACAGGGAAGGTTGCTGTGGCCGGGTACTGCTAGTATGTATATATATATATATATATATATATATATATATATATATATATATATATATATATATATATATATATATATATATATATATATATATGAGTCGAACCCGGCCAGGCGAGAGCACATTGCAACTGGAGTACACGGTGCCTTAAACCACTCGACCTTCAGTGACCATACAAAAGGCAGTGATAGCCGAGGCTATTTGAACAACCACCACCCTGACGGAACTTTGATGGTAATCTTGGGCATAGCTATTTCATCAAATCTCCTCATTTTTGTGGGGCCACGTGACCAACACAAATGCGAACAAGCTTGAATGGTCCCCAAACTGAATGGAGTTTTCAGTTGCACATATGCTTGGGGACCATTCAAGGTTTTTCTCATTCTGACACGTGGTCTGACTCTGTCACGTTTTGCATCACGCACACCGTTTCAGGCAGGTCCTTATTCCTAATATTCCCCGGAATACGACCCGCCAAATCGTCAACAACCAGGTACCCATTCACTGCTGGGGGAACAGAGGCAACAGTTATGGATTGGCGCCCATTCAATCCTCCCCGGCCAGGATACGAACCCAGGCCAGAGCGCTTGCGAGGCGCCGGGCGAGTGTTCTATTACTGCGCCACGGGGACTGCTTTAATTGCATGCTGACCCTTGTTTATACATCCTTCTTTATACATCTCTTCATACATCACTGTTTATACAATCCAGTTTCTATTTCGCTCTCAAATTACTCTGACATATAAATGGCCAACACGCGCAAAAAGAAAGGAAAACGCAACAGAACATCAAAATATAATTTACAAACAACAAATATTTTTTAATACAAGAAACACAATGCAAATAATGATAAAAAAAAAAGCGTTACGAATAATGACCAAAACATTGAAATACAAAAATAACGACACGCAAAAATTACATAAAAATATACAACAACACACAGAATACAGTTAATAAACGAAGACATATTAGACCCCAGAGAGTAGGTACAGACCGAGCACGCGCACACACGCGCGCAGAATGTAAACATTGGCTCCTCCTCCCCCCCTCCCCCGGGCTAAGTGAATAGGTTATCCCTATAGCCATTTATCTCCCTATTCCCTGAAGCCTGACTAATGACCCATAGCCACCCGGGCACTGAGATTGATGTGTTGTTTGGCCGGGAGAAATTGCAAACGGTTTTCAATTGACTTCCAGCCGTATTCAGAGCCTCTTCTCTGATGTTTCCCTGAGCCTAGTGTTCTAGGGAATAAATGGGGAAGGGAGAAGGGGGATTTGGGAGGTTGGGGATAGGCGGGAGGATTTGGGAGGTAATCAGGGTGGATAGGACGAGGTCCAGGGAGAGTATGGTTGGTGGCCCTGATACATGGCAGAGCATGGTTGGTGGCCCTGGTACATGGCAGAGCATTGTTGGTGGCCCTGGTATATGGAAGAGCATGGTTGGTGGCCCTGGTACATGGCAGAGCATGGTTGGTGGCCCTGGTACATGGCAGAGCATTGTTGGTGGCCCTGGTATATGGGAGAGCATGGTTGGTGGCCCTGGTACATGGGAGAGCATGGTTGGTGGCACTTGTACAAGGGAGAGCATGGTTGGTGGCCCTTGTGGGGAACCCACCGGTAATTAAATTGAGTATTCATTCAAGAGATTGTATTTAATGGTATTTATTACTTCTAAGTGAACTGTATTTTATAATTTATTGTCACCACTAAATTTCCCTTACACATTTTGGAGAGTTTCATAGTTTAATCTTACCGTAATTAAACAGTAGATATAATTACTAATGTGTCATAGATCACAGAACTATACATAGAACGTTGAAAATGGCCTCAGCTGGTTTGTAGTGTGAGAGTTGTGCCTCCAGTGTGAGAGTTGGTTCTCTAGTGTGAGAGTTGGTCCTCTAGTGTGAGAGTTGGTCCTCTAGTGTGAGAGTTGGTCCTCTAGTGTGAGAGTTGGTCCTCTAGTGTGAGAGTTGGTCCTCTAGTGTGAGAGTTGGTCCTCTAGTGTGAGAGTTGGTCCTCTAGTGTGAGAGTTGGTCCTCTAGTGTGAGAGTTGGTCCTCTAGTGTGAGAGTTGGTCCTCTAGTGTGAGAGTTGGTCCTCTAGTGTGAGAGTTGGTCCTCTAGTGTGAGAGTTGGTCCTCTAGTGTGAGAGTTGGTCCTCTAGTGTGAGAGTTGGTCCTCTAGTGTGAGAGTTGGGCCTCTAGTGTGAGAGTTTGGCCTCTGATGTGAGAGTTGGGCCTCTAGTGTGAGAGTTGGGCCTCTAGTGTGAGAGTTGGGCCTCTAGTGTGAGAGTTGGGCCTCTAGTGTGAGAGTTGGGCCTTTAGAGTGAGAGTTTTGCCTCTAGAGTGAGAGTTGGGCCTCTAGAGTGAGAGCTGGGCCTCTAGTGTGAGAGCTGGGCCTCTAGTGTGAGAGCTGGGCCTCTTGAGTGAGAGCTGGGCCTCTAGTGTGAGAGCTGGGCCTCTAGTGTGAGAGTTGGTCCTCTAGTGTGAGAGCTGGGCCTCTAGTGTGAGAGTTGGGCCTCTAGTGTGAGAGTTGGTCCTCTAGTGTGAGAGCTGGGCCTCTAGTGTGAGAGCTGGGCCTCTTGTGTGAGAGTTGGGCCTCTAGTGTGGGAGCTGGGCCTCTAGTGTGAGAGCTGGGCCTCTAGTGTGAGAGCTGGGCCTCTAGTATGAGAGTTGGGTCTCTAGTGTTATTGGCCAATGAAATCTGAGCTAAAATAAACCGAACTAACACTTATCTTAGTCTTGCAAGTTATGGCAGAAAATAGTGACTATATTCCTTTGTTGTAAGTCTCGCTGCTCTCTTTAACTTGCTGGGAGTTAATTTCTGTCGTCGCTGTGGGAGACCCTCTTGTGAGCTCTTAAGTTAACCGGAATTACTCTTTACGTATACATCATCCCCCCCCTCCCTCTACTCTTTAATATCAACTCACTTAGTGATCAATTAGCACTATTAATCATCTACTTGAGGACAATCAGGTAGTTAAGTGGACGATAAATTCAGATTTCCAAAATGTGCTCATACCCACGTAATTATTCCCAGGTAAACGAGCCAGGGACAACACGCCATAGACACCTGCTGAGACCTGATGGGAAATTGATCATCCTCCAAGATGCAATAAATCTGAACATAGATATTGGAGCTGAGGCCATTGAAAGGATGCTTAGACCATGAGATGATGACACAGGTTCAAGGCGACTCATGTCATGAGGCTGTGATGCAAGGCAACTCATGTCATGAGGCTGTGATGCAAGGGAACTCATGTCATGAGGCTGTGACGCAAGGCGACTCATGTCATGAGGCTGTGATGCAAGGCAACTCATGTCATGAGGCTGTGACGCAAGGCGACTCATGTCATGAGGCTGTGATGCAAGGCGACTCATGTCATGAGGCTGTGATGCAAGGGAACTCATGTCATGAGGCTGTGACGCAAGGCGACTCATGTCATGAGGCTGTGACGCAAGGCGACTCATGTCATGAGGCTGTGACGCAAGGCGACTCATGTCATGAGGCTGTGACGCAAGGCAAATCATGTCATGAGGCTGTGACGCAAGGCAACTCATGTCATGAGGCTGTGACGCAAGGCAAATCATGTCATGAGGCTGTGACGCAAGGCGACTCATGTCATGAGGCTGTGACGCAAGGCGACTCAAGTCATGAGGCTGTGACGCAAGATGTCGGAAAATCCGACACCATTTAATATATCATACAGACAGATAATAATTGCTGCTGTATTACCAACAAGTTACCCATAGAAAACGTAACTTGTAGTGGAATTACCGTCTATAGAAAACGGGATATCATCACCACATACTATTATATTCACCACCTATTATGGTGGGAATTATTCTTAAATACATTAGTCTTTGGACTTTACCATCATAAAACATCTCATATAAATTAACTTAATTATCAATATTAAAGTAGAGTAAATGTGACCCTTCTATCACTTTCTGACATCTGGACAATGTAGGCCAGGCATCAGTGAGGGAGGAGGGGCAGCCATTGTTGTTGTCACCTCCGAGACGCGTGGAGCAAATTCGGCTCCTATTATATCTGGACAATGTCGGCCAGTAGCGTCAGTAGTATGGAGTGTTAGACATTGCCATTGTTTATACTAGACCAGAGGTACATGGGAGCAAATACGGCTCCTGTTAATTTTACTTGGACGTAGTGTTATGGAAACCAAAGGTGTACCATCTTCAACACGCTGTCAACAAATTCAAGTTAAGTGTTCTTTCCGAAACCCATGTATCTTTCATTTATGGCCATTAATGTCATTATATAGGGTGAACCGGTTAGAGCACGTGGTAGCCTCAAACTAAAGGTAATTAAGCCAGGTCTTCATTGTTCCATGTATAGTGTTTTCTCTGATATACCTGTCATATATAGGATTCTGGCTTTACAGCTAGCGCCCTTTTGACAGGTCAAGACGTGGAAGCAAGGCTTTGTGCATCAGTTACCAGGGTGATGGAAGCTACCTCAAAGAGGGAAAATGTGGTCTACACCCTAGTTATACCTGGTGGACTAAGAACTGCTGTACTATAAGATAAGGAACCTTTTCAATGTATGTAGTCTAATTCTGTAGTTTGATTGGCTGCATATATATATTCAATTAATATAAACCCCCCCTAATGTGTAGAGGATCGATTTGTGAGATTATGAGATTATTGCAGAAATACAGTCCACTTATCATTATACAAATTGCTATCGAAGTATATAAATTAACGTAAATATAAATTCATATAAATTAAATAAATATAAATCTCACAGGTTGGTTCCCACATTATTTGGTCCTTCGAACCGGATGACGGATTATTTGATCCTTTGAACCCACATTTGGTCATCTTAGTACCGGATGAACCAGTTAACCAGTGGATTCAATAAATATACTAGTGCAGTGTGATTTAAACAAAGCCAGTCAAAGACGGCAGCGTTGTCTCGAGCGAGTTCACGAGCCCCGCTCAGCCCAGTTAAGCCTTAGTCAGCGGTTTCATGCATACCCACAGATTTGGTGGCGTGTTATTTTGTGAAATGACAGCGCTAATATTGAAGCCAGCCAAATTAATGGCTGTGTCCTCGCAAGATTGTTCACGGATTTCGTGGTGTTAAATTTCGCGACAGATTATCTACGAATTTTGTGGACTTTATTTCGCGAGGTCACTAATAATATTTAATACTTCTAGATAATATTAGAAGTTTTATAGAGGCTAATTAAGAGGCTATTATCAATAATTGTGTATATTATTTCTCCAAAATAGAGAATTATTTAATATAAATTGCACTAGTGATCACAGTATAATATTTACTAATTGCCAACCCACAACAGGGTAGGATATTAACCATTGACTAGTTGAACTATTATGGTTCATCCTAGTCCCATTATTACCATAGTCAGTTGTACTATATTCAACAACTTAACACCATTAATGAATGGTGCAGACGCTATTTTGGGTGTAATTTTTATCAACTCGAGTTGAGTTGTATATATAATAATTTACTTATGATCATTACACCTTTGAGTGATTAATTAGTGTCTCTAATGTGATATAGAAGAGCTAACCTAAAGGTACTTCCAGTGACACTGGTTTATCACTCAAATCATTAGTGTGTATGATTGTATATATATAATGTGTATTAATTTTAAGTGCTAACCTCTAGTAGAGGTAGGATTACAGCCTAGCGAGTGCAGAATTTACCCTAGGCTACCATCAGTGCTTGTTCAGTATTATGAGCAGCCCAAGTACAAGCCCCACAAGGCTTCACCAACTAGCTAGTATGCATAATGCTGTCAATGAGAAAACTGTCATACATCTAGTACTACAATTGCTGGACTTACCTCAACCTGATCACACTGCTGACTCATTACAATCCTTCAGCATGGAGTTTGAGTCACTACTAAGAACATTCAGTCTTAAGGTTGATATAACTGCTAGTGAATGGATGACCAAAGTAGTCCTTCAACGAAAATTATCCAGCGATATACTAGATGAATTATATTCACATCAACATAACACCATCCTGACAGTACAGGACATCATTGAAGGTTTGCATTCCATCATAAACAAACGACGTGCAAATGAGGAAGTTAAAGCCTCATGCAAGCCTTCAGAAATAGAAAATAATAGTCAATTAAAGGGTAAAACAACTACCCCAAATAAACATCAGCCAATTACTCAAACATCAAGTTGCAGAAAATCTGACAATGCAGCAAAATCCTCCAAGCCTACTGTTACTAGTTCACCCAAACCGGTAACTTCCAAACGTGCAGTAGGCTGGGGGACATGTATGTTCTGCAAAAAGAAACATTCAACATACTGTTGTGCTAATTATCCAACCAGAGACACTCGTATGGAGCGACTCCAGGAATTAGGGAGATGTTCAAGGTGTCTCAAGTCACACAACATAGACTATTGTGATACCCAATTCAACACCTGCAACAGGTGTAGAAGAGGTAGACACCATGCAGCACTGTGCAAATATACGAAATTAACGTATTCAAGACCCAAGGTGGAAGATAGCATTCCCACCACAGTACAGTACTGCAAGGTGCAACAAACAAAGAGTGTCCAATCGGCAAAGTCTAAAGGTAATACGACTTTGCCTACTGCCCAAATTACCATCCTGAATAAGAGGGCCAAGGTCCATACCCGTGGGTTGTTTGACCAAGGATCCCAGAGAACATATGTCACTAAAAAGTTGGCAGATGAACTACAATTAAAGCCTGTAGCCCAGATGTCATTCAATATCTCAGGGTTTGTAACAGATGCAGGACCTCAAGTCTACCAGGTGGTACAACCATCAGTACGTTTAGGCAGGTACGTCTGTCGAGTACAAGCCATTGTGGTGGACAAAATACCAGCAGACCTACAAGTTCAAGGTCTGAGAGCAACAGCCAAATTCCTGAGAAATAGAGGAATAAAATTGGCAGATAATATTAAGTCTGATCACCTCACCGACTTCGGTCTCCTTGTAGGGACAGACTATTGTCATCGATTCATCGGTAGCCCTACTAAATATCAGGGCATAACCATGTTAAACTCTGCAGGAGGTAAATTACTCTCAGGCCCAGTATCAAGCCTGAGGAGACCTATGCCTGCAGATAAACAATACCAGTAGAAATCTAAATTTGTCAGCTGATTATATTTCTCCAGTAGCATTATACTAAGGAGATTACAGCTGACTATACCAACAGAGGTTGATGTTAGTATCATCATTTAAAGCTGAAGATGAGTTCATGAGGCCTCAGTGGCAAATCAGTGAACAGTAGCCTAAAACAGCTACAAGTCACTGCGACCAATGTCACTGAACCCACTGCAGTCTCAGAACCATACTTTACTTTAATGATGAGCTATTCAATCTTCTGAATCAATTAACTAAATTAAACCCCAATAAATCTGATGACTGATTTGATACATTTATTATTTAATCAAGATGTATTCCATGGGCCTCAGTGTTTATATATCAGTGACCAGTTACCTGAACAAACTTCAAGTTATATCTAATGTCACTGATCTCACTGCAGTCCCTGAATCATGCTTGACTGTAGTGCTTGATCACATTCAGTCTTCTGGGTTAAATAATATGTAATAAGGCTTGAATATTAGCCTTTCAAGAGTTGACAGGGAAATGAAATCGCATTAGACTTCTAACCCCTGCAACTCTAGTACGGGACATCCGTCCTGTACGAACAGACGCACAAATGTGTGATTACTAACTACTAACATCAAATTAATCTAATAATTCGAAGGAGGAGTATCGGTGTTCGTCTGTTCTAAATAGGACTTCGACCCGTGAGCAGCCCCTGGGGAATTATGTCGGAAAATCCGACACCATTTAATATATCATACAGACAGATAATAGCTGTGTTGTATTAAACAAGTTACCCATAGAAAACGTAACTTGTAGTGGAATTACCGTCTATAGAAAACGGGATATCATCACCACATACTATTATATTCACCACCTATTATGGTGGGAATTATTCTTAAATACATTAGTCTTTGGACTTTACCATCATAAAACATCTCATATAAATTAACTTAATTATCAATATTAAAGTAGAGTAAATGTGACCCTTCTATCACTTTCTGACATCTGGACAATGTAGGCCAGGCGTCAGTGAGGGAGGAGGGGCAGCCATTGTTGTTGTCACCTCCGAGACGCGTGGAGCAAATTCTGCTCCTATTATATCTGGACAATGTCGGCCAGTAGCGTCAGTAGTATGGAGTGTTAGACATTGCCATTGTTTATACTAGACCAGAGGCACACGGGAGCAAATACGGCTCCTGTTAATTTTTCTTGGACGTAGTGTTATGGAAACCAAAGATGTACCATCTTCAACACGCTGTCAACAAATTCATTTAAGTGTTCTTTCCGAAACCCATGTATCTTTCATTTATGGCCATTAATGTCATTATATAGGGTGAACCAGTTAGAGCACGTGGTAGCCTCAAACTAAAGGTAATTAAGCCAGGTCTTCATTGTTCCATGTATAGTGTTTTCTCTGATATACCTGTCATATATAGGATTCTGGCTTTACAGCTAGCGCCCTTTTGACAGGTCAAGACGAGGAAGCAAGGCTTTGTGCATCAGTTACCAGGGTGATGGAAGCTACCTCAAAGAGGGAAAATGTGGTGTCTACACCCTAGTTATACCTGGTGGACTAACCTGCTGTACTATAAGATAAGGAACCTCTTCAATGTATGTAGTCTAATTCTGTAGTTTGATTGGCTGCATATATATATTCAAATAATATAACCCCCCCCTAATGTGTAGAGGATCGATTTGTGAGATTATGAGATTATTGCAGAAATACAGTCCACTTATCATTATACAAATTGCTAACGAAGTATATAAATTAACGTAAATATAAATTCATATAAATTAAATAAATATAAATCTCACAGGTCGGTTCCCACACAAGGCGACTCATGTCATGATTGACACTCACCAGTCTCCCTTAAGTTGAGTATTGAGCTGAGGACTTTAGACAAAATACTGATCTCAGTCCATAAAAATCCTTTCCATATAAATATGAAGATTATTTTGTTGCAATAAGCCACATTAATATTGATCAAAGTAACCAAAGAGCCAGGTCAACGCTGCTTAGCTTGGAAAGTTTTTGATATACGGATATTTTATTTTTTTCTAGAATAATGATCAGTCAATTCATTGAGATCTTGAGTGTCTTCGCCATCCTGGTTGTGAGGACCTGCACAAGGCTCCTGGTTGTGAGGACCTACACAAGGCTCCTGGTTGTGAGGACCAACACAAGGCTAATGGTTGTGAGGACCAACACAAGGCTCCTGGTTGTGAGGACCAACACAAGGCTAATGGTTGTGAGGACCAACACAAGGCTCCTGGTTGTGAGGACCTGCACAAGGCTCCTGGTTGTGAGGACCAGCACAAGGCTCCTGGTTGTGAGGACCAGCACAAGGCTCCTGGTTGTGAGGACCAACACAAGGCTAATGGTTGTGAGGACCAACACAAGGCTCCTGGTTGTGAGGACCAACACAAGGCTCCAGGTTGTGAGGACCAACACAAGGCTCCTGGTTGTGAGGACCAACACAAGGCTCCTGGTTGTGAGGACCAACACAAGGCTCCTGGTTGTGAGGACCAACACAAGGCTCCAGGTTGTGAGGACCAACACAAGGCTCCTGGTTGTGAGGACCAACACAAGGCTCCTGGTTGTGAGGACCAACACAAGGCTCCAGGTTGTGAGGACCTGCACAAGGCTCCTGGTTGTGAGGACCTGCACAAGGCTCCAGGTTGTGAGGACCTGCACAAGGCTCCTGGTTGTGAGGACCAGCACAAGGCTCCTGGTTGTGAGGACCTAATGGTTGCTGGGGCCTCGTAGCCTGGTGGATAGCGTGCAGGACTCGTAATTCTGTGGCGCGGGTTCGATTCCCGCACGAGGCAGAAACAAATGGGCAAAAGTTTCTTTCACCCTGAATGCCCCTGTTACCTAGCAGTAAATAGGTACCTGGGTGTTAGTCAGCTGTCACGGGCTGCTTCCTAGGGGTGGAGGTCTGGTCGAGGACCGGGCCGCGGGGACACTAAAGCCCCGAAATCATCTCAAGATAACCTCAAAATAACCTACACAAAGCTAATGGTTGTGAGGACCTACACAAAGTTAATGGTTGTGAGGACCAACACAAAGCTAATGGTTGTGAGGACCTACACAAAGTTAATGGTTGTGAGGACCAACACAAAGCTAATGGTTGTGAGGACCAGCACAAGGCTAATGGTTGTGAGGACCAGCACAAGGCTAATGGTTGTGAGGACCTACACAAGGATAATGGTTGTGAGGACCTACACAAGGCTAATGGTTGTGAGGACCTACACAAGGCTAATGGTTGTGAGGACCAACACAAAGCTAATGGTTGTGAGGACCAACACAAGGCTAATGGTTGTGAGGACCTACACAAGGCTAATGGTTGTGAGGACCTACACAAGGCTAATGGTTGTGAGGACCAACACAAAGCTAATGGTTGTGAGGACCTACACAAAGCTAATGGTTGTGAGGACCTACACAAAGCTAATGGTTGTGAGGACCTACACAAAGCTAATGGTTGTGAGGACCTACACAAAGCTAATGGTTGTGAGGACCAACACAAAGCTAATGGTTGTGAGGACCAACACAAAGCTAATGGTTGTGAGGACCAACACAAAGCTAATGGTTGTGAGGACCAACACAAAGCTAATGGTTGTGAGGACCTACACAAAGCTAATGGTTATGAGGACCTACACAAAGCTAATGGTTGTGAGGACCTACACAAAGCTAATGGTTGTGAGGACCAACACAAAGCTAATGGTTGTGAGGACCAACACAAAACTAATGGTTGTGAGGACCAGCACAAGGCTAATGGTTGTGAGGACCAACACAAAACTAATGGTTGTGAGGACCAGCACAAAACTAATGGTTGTGAGGACCAGCACAAAACTAATGGTTGTGAGGACCAACACAAAACTAATGGTTGTGAGGACCTACACAAAGCTAATGGTTGTGAGGTCCAACACAAAGCTAATGGTTGTGAGGACCAACACAAAGCTAATGGTTGTGAGGACCTACACAAAGCTAATGGTTGTGAGGACCTACACAAAGCTAATGGTTGTGAGGACCTACACAAAGCTAATGGTTGTGAGGACCAACACAAAGCTAATGGTTGTGAGGACCAGCAGAAGGCTAATGGTTGTGAGGACCAACACAAAGCTAATGGTTGTGAGGACCTACACAAAGCTAATTGTTGCAACACTGCATAAAATATAATTTTCCTCTGTTGGTTCTTTAATATATTGGCTAAGAAAATAATCATTAACTAATTCTTAAAAGGAATTTGATTCAATATTTCCTTTTTTTCATTATTCCAGATTATTTTATTTAATTTAACGTCATAACAAAATAATTTTTAGATCTAGAATCTCTATATATATACGTCGACATCTAGAGAAGGGATATATATGTCTGTCTGTCTATTTGTATGAGGTTGGAAGGTAGATGTTTGTGGTTAACTTCACACAACCTTCCATGGTGACTTGTAATCGTATGGGAAGTGTCATAGGGGGATAGGGAATAGATCCTCCAACGTCCTTCTTTAAGAAGGATTGGCTCCTATATCGAAAACCAGCGACTCATGTAATGTGAGTTTGATTCTCTGTAGTGTTTAAACTGTTTAACATTGAACGGTTACCACAACCTTCAGACAAAAAGGAAGTTAAATTAGACCCAGATGTTGTTGTCAAGACTGTTCTTCAAGACACTCAGGTCTGATGGGGGGGGGGGGGATTACTGCCTTCCGAAGGCCTGAAAGCACCAGTATAAAAGCTATGATTTGGTCAGATCTGAAACGTGTGTTTATGGGAAGCACAAAACGTCGACCAGACTGTACGACACAGTGGTTGCCAGGATCAGGTTGGGTTACCGTTACCTGTGGCAGGTGACTACCGTTACCTGTGGCAGGTGGCTACCGTTACCTGTTACAGGTGGCTAACGTTACCTGTGGCAGGTGGCTAACGTTACCTGTGGCAGGTGGCTACCGTCACCTGTGGCAGGTGGCTACCGTTACCTGTGGCAAGTGGCTACCGTCACCTGTGGCAGGTGGCTACCGTTACCTTTGGCAAGTGGCTACCGTTACCTGTGGCAGGTATTACTACCGTCACCTGTGGCAGGTGATTACCGTTACCTTTGGCAGGTGGCTACCGTTACCCCGTGGCAGGTGGCTACCGTTACCTGTGGCAGGTGGCTACCGTTACCCGTGGCAAGTGGCTACCGTTACCTGTGACAGCGGATACCGTTACCTGTGGCAGGTGGCTACCGTTACCTGTGGCAGGTGGCTACCGTTACCTGTGGGCAGTGATGATTACCGTTACCTTTGGCAGGTGGCTACCGTTATGCGTGGCAGGTGGGCTACCGTTATGCCGTTGGCAGGTGGCTACCGTTATGCCTGTGGCAGGTGGCTACCGTGTGCCGGTGTGCAGTGGCTACCGTCATGCCTGTGGCAGGTGATTACCGTTATGCCTGTGGCAGGTGGCTATAACCGTTATGCCTGTGGCAGGTGGCTACCGTTACCTGTGGCAGGTGGCTACCGTTATGCCTGTGGCAGGTGGCTCCAAAGTAATACTCCAGCAATGACTGCACGTGGTGAGGTGCAAGTAACACAGTTGACACAGATGCAGGTACAACTGGGTGAACACGTGAGATGAACAGGTGCTCACTCTGTGGCCGGGCGTGGAGCAAGGCTGGGTGGTGACGTGACAAGCAGCTACGCACAGGGTGGCCAGGGTGGCCAGGGTGGCCAGGGTGGCCAGGGTGGCCAGGGTGGCCAGGGTGGCCAGGGTGGCCAGGATGGCTGACACACGAGGTGACCACACGTGGCAGGGCCGGGTGGCCACGGCTTGGCCAGGGTGGGTGGCCAGGGTGGCCAATTTTACTAAGTGGCCAGTGGGGGCCAATGCCAACTGACGCAGGGCCGAAAATAAGTTAATAACTGTGTTTTCTCACTCCAAGAAATCAACGGCGGCAATTTGTGATCAATGAACTTTACTTTAAACCCATTCTAGTTATTCTCACTCCCCGGATGTTGCCGATCATCACTGATGTAACCCTGGCAGTCTCGTTGCTGCTGCTGTGATCACCTGGCCACATCTCTCTCTCTCCTCTCTCATCTCTCTCTCTCTCTCTCTCTCTCTCTCTCTCTCTCTCTCTCTTCTCTCTCTCTCTCTCTCTCTCTCTCTCTCTCTCTCTCTCTCTCTCTCTCTCTCTCTCTCTCTCTCTCTCTCTCTCTCTCTCTCTCTTCTCTCTCTCTACTTATCTCTCTCTCTCTCTATCTCTCTCCTCTCTCTCTCTCTCTATCTCTACTCTCTCTCTCTCCTCTCTCCTCTCTCGATCTCTCTCTCTCTCCTCTATCTATCTCTCTGTCTATCTCTCTGCTCCAGGAGTAAATGATATTAGACAGATGACGAGGTATTCAAATGAACGTCGTTAGGCGGTAAAATCTATGCTATGTCCAGTAGCACAGATCTCTACGTCCGGATACAACAACTGACGTCTACTGACGTCTATAGACGTCTACAGAATGCTGATGGAAGGCTCTCATGGGTGCTACAATGGCCCCCCTTAATGTTCCCTGCCCGGGGTATGAAATTAGCCAATGAGGCACTAGGCACAGAGGCCTAAACCAATCAGGGACAGTTCCCTCCAAGTGAAGAGAGACCGTGACGTCACGACTACGTCATGACTGAGGCTCATGTCCACTGGACAGTTGGCCTCGCCTCTCCCTTCCTTGACCGCAAACTTGAAAGGTTTCCTCTGACTCCATGTCGAAGGTGGCTTCCTGAGGAGATGACTGGTTGATGTACATGTACTCTCTTCGCTCTAATTAACAAACGACTAGGCATGCAACGGCCCTTGCAATACCTTTGGTCGTCTGATGGCATGAGCTCTCCACAGATACCCAACAAGGTATCAAGGTAGCTTAAGTCTTGAATTAACGAAACTCGACCTTATGCACTTCTGGAATTCAAGCGTCACCATTCACTCTCTTTGCACACATTAAGGCAGCTGGCAGAATCTGTTCTCTCACAGTGTTACAGGACCAGTCACACAGAGAGGTACAGGAATATCTGGCGCATGAAGACCAGAGATCGTTATGTAAAATATTGGAGCTCACGTAGTTCTTCTTTTGTCCTCTGGCCAGATAAAGAGGCTCTACAAGACACAGTGAACCTCACTACAGGCCATCGGAGCACGCAATCCTTGCAAAATTGGAGTCAGAGAGCGTTTTAATAGAGGAGTCTTGCAGTTAATGGTTCCCCTATGCATTTTGCAAGTTAGGCTCGACGCATTGTTGGCTGAATGCAATTCGTGCAACACTGTTGTGGTTAGGTTATGACATTTAATGCAGGAAAAATTAAGTAAATCACGTGGCATATTTCTGGACTTCCTAAAATTCTAAAGACTTTTTTGTAGTTTAAAAATACGCAATCAGTCCATTCTTCCCTGTCCGGCCTTATTTTGGTTACTTTATCAAAGAATTCCTGCAGGATTGTTAGGCCTGATTTCCCTTCTTTGAACCCATGTTGGTGTTTGTTTACATTCGTAACTCTCTCTAAGTGTGAGTGAGGATTTGTACTCACCTATTTGTACTCAATTATTTGTGCTTGCGGGGGTTGAGCTTTGGCTCTTTGGTCCCGACTCTCAACTGTCAATCAACTGGTGTACAGGTTCCTGAGCCTACTGGGCTCTATCATATCTACATTTGAAATTGTGTATGGAGTCAGCCTCCACCACATCCCTGCCTACTGCATTCCATCCGTTAACTACTCTGACACTGAAAAAGTTCCTTTTAACGTCTCTGTGACTCATGTGGGTATTCAGTTTCCACCTGTGTCCCCTTGTTCGCGTCCCACCAGTGTTGAATAGTTTATCCTTGTTTACAAGGTCGATTCCCCTGAGGATTTTGTAGGTTGTGATCATGTCTCCCCTTACTCTTCTGTCTTCCAGTGTCGTAAGGTGCATTTCCCGCAGCCTTTCCTCTTAACTCATGCCTCTTAGTTCGGGGACTAGTCTAGTAGCATACCTTTGGACTTTTTCAGCTTCGTCTTCTGCTTGACAAGGTACGGGCTCCATGCTGGGGCCGCATACTTCAGGATTGTCGTACATATGTGGTGTACAAGATTCTGAATGATTCCTTACACAGGTTCCTGAACGCTGTTCTGATCTTAGTCAGCCTCGCATATGCCGCAGACGTAATTCTTTTTATGTGGGCTTCAGGAGACAGGTTTGGTGTGATATCAACTCCTAGATCTTTCTTTCTGTCCGTTTCATTAGGTACTTCATCTCCTATTTTGTATCCTGTGTCTGGTCTCCTGTTTCCACTGCCTAGTTTCATTACTTTGCATTTACTTGGGTTGAACTTCAACAGCCATTTGTTGGACCATTCACTCAGTCTGTCTAGGTCATCCTGTGAGGTAGGACCTGCCATCCCTGAACCCATGTTGATGCTCTGTTACAAAGTTCTTTCGCTGCAGATGCTCCACTAGCTTTCTTCGCACAATCTTCTCCATCAGCTTGCATGGTATGCAGGTTAGGAACACTGACCTGTAGTTCAGTGCCTCCTGTCTATCTCCTTTCTTGTATATTGGGACTATGTTATCTGCTTTCCAAATATCTGGCCATTCCCCTGCTGCCAGTGATTTGTTATACACTATGGAGAGTGGTAGGCACAGTTCTTCTGCTCCTTCCTCTAGTATTCAACGGGAGATTCCATCTGGGCCTATAGCCTTTGTCACATCCAACTCTAGTAAATACTTCCTTACTGCCCCGCTGGTAATCTCAAACTCTTCCAGTGGTTCCTGGTTAACTATTCCCTCTCTTATCTCTGGAATTTCTCCTTGCTCTAAGGTGGTGAGGTCTTCACCTTCACTTAAAAGGTGAAGACCTCCGGGAATTTCTTATTCAGTTCCACACACATTTCCTTGTCGTTTGTAGTGAATCCTTCCGCCCCTATCCTTAAGTTCATAACCTGTTCCTTTACTGTTGTGTTTCTCCTTATGTGGCTATGCAGCAATTTAGGCTGAGTCTTTGCCTTGCTTGTGATGTAATTTTCGCATTGTCTTTCTGCCTCTCTTCCCATCCTGACATATTCATTCCTGGCATTCTGGTATCTTTCTCTGCTCTCCAGTGTCCTGTTATTCCTATAGTTTCTCCATGCCCTTTTACTTTGCTGCTTAGCTAGCCTACATCTCTGATTAAACCAGGGGTT